GGAGGTGGGGGGGGGTGGGAGTAATAAAGAAGTATACAAGACAGAATGAACGGAACAAGCAGATCAATCCACTGACCGCACTCTAGAGTACAAAATATCAAGCGGTGGCCAAATCCGCTGTCTTACTTACTGTCCATATCACAGCCACCAGGCGTGTAGAGATGTCTCAGCAATTCTCGAACAGTTTCGGCGTCATCTTTCGGCAGCGAAACCTGATTATTTGTTGTTTCCTATAATAATAATAATAAAAGATAGGGAAGTAGCAATTAAAGTAGCGGCAATTATGAATAAGGCAATAAATTTTAATTTCTTATGAGAAATACAATTTGGCTTCAATTAAGTAGCACAAGGAATTAGCAAACCCACACTTGGGAACGATTGAAGGTAAAGGTTGTAAAAAAAGTACTCATTGGATCTAATAATATTTAAATCACAATTTAGCACTAGGCTACTTAGAAGAAGCTCAATTAAATTATTGATTCAAGGGGAGTAAGGAAAGATGGAAATTAATGTAGCACAAAACGCAAAGTAAGTTGAAATGGGACAAAAATCCTCTTTAAGCCGAAGCACCACTAAAGTACACTTAACTAAGTACTTAATTAAATAAAGGTGACGGTGGTGGCGGCGAGGTTAACAATTTTGCCACGTGGAAGCCCTCTCAGACCAAGCTTGAATAAAAGTCCTTCCAAAGTAGGCTGATCTCCATGCATCAAGATCTGTTCAATTTGTAAGTGAATGATCACTTATGAAAGAGCAACATTAGAAGTTAAGAACTGCCTTATAGGAATCTGGTCTTTTACTCGAAGAAAGCATTGATTAATAGAGAAAGGCGGCTTGATTTCTCAGATTAATTTTATTAGGTAGATAGCTTTACAAATTTAACTTAAAGGATTTCAAGAACGAAATACCAATGCTTCGACACATATTCAGTAAATTAAAATCAGGATCAAATAATATATATATATAGATTGCGTCACTTGATGAGGTAATCAAGCAGACACACGCACGCACGCACTAAGAGATGTTACCTCAAATCGCGATTGGAACATAGCTTTGAAAACTGGTGAGTAGAGGGAGAGGATGGCTCGATGGCAGTGCAGCTTCTCGTTCTCTACTAGAAGAACCATGTCACTAAAAAGAAAGGGCTCCCGGAAATCGTAAACCTCGCGTTCATGGTCATCATCCTTTTCTGAGGAAGAGTTTTCATCCGACCTTGAAGAAAACCAATGTAAATAAAAGCATTCGGTTAAACAGAAGGCTGGTTTAAATAAGGGAAAATAGGCTCAGTGATATTAGCTAAGACTAGACACACATGATACAAGCAGAAAGGATAAGAAATGTGGAGTTGGGAAAATGAACGCAAGTTGTGCGTGTACGCAGCACACAAGCGTCCGGATTGGTCGGACATCCCGAAGCAGTGGAACGGGATTGGCGGAAAGCTAAACGGGGGGGGGATTTTATAAAAAGGAAATTTTCTAACACATCAATAGATTCAAGCATTCGTGTTATATTACTACTATGAAGATCAGTACTATGTGGGTGATATCTTATTGCCAGTATTAAATAATGTTACAAAAATTATTATAAATATATATCAGTAAATGGAAAAGCAATAAAGTATTTATTTAAGATTAATTTTAGTCATATATATTTTATGAATCTGCTAACAAGGCAATTGGTTTAGTACAAGAATAGAAAACTAAAGACAATAAATTACTCTGGGTTTTTATAGTTTTATGGTCGAATATAGAACACGTAAAGCCTAAGATTTGTTAGTTAAAATTGCACCAAAGAATGGAAATAATGCGTAAAGCACCACTAGATAATGTGCAATTACGTCAATATATGCTGTAGTACTATTCATTTGTGTGCAAAAGCGTTTGCCCTCTGTTCAAAACATTATAAGTGTCAGATGATTTTTTATTACTTATTAAAATTTTATTATCCCATTCATATGGTTATTTAAAAAGATCTAAATTAATGTATTTAAGCAAGAATATGATTTAAGGTTATTAATTTATTTAATATTGAAACCGTCACTCTGAAAGTGTAAAGCTATGTGGGAACTGCTAAGGACAAATATTAAAAGCATTTTTAATAAAAAATTAGGACTCACGCCTGGATGGCGATATCATTTGTAACGTGTGTGCATGTCTGTCTTGATTCTCTACGAATCATAGTCCTGCTGTATACGAAGCAAATACCCACAATTTCCCCAAGACTAGAGAGTACAGGTGACTTAAATGGATTTCCGATCTCAAGGTCATAGTTTAAAATGCATTTCAGATTTTTATTTTTATTTTAGGTGCAAAACAAGGTATATTTTAATTTTTCATTTTTTAATCAGAATAAAAATATTTACACTATAAGTTTAAAAATATCAAAAGATCCTATTTAATTAATTGAACAATTGGTCTTTGGGCTATAGCTTTATTACCTATGTTACCCGCTGTTGAGAAAGTACTAATTAAAAATGTCAGAATTTAAGAAAATTATTTAAGTATTCAAGATTTGATCGAGAAAAAAAAGATTGTTCATTTATCCGTTACCTTTAAATATTCCATAACGCCTGTAGTGATTTACTATTCATTGACATTTATTCTCATTGATTATTCATATACTGGGTTGACAGATCAGCATGCATTAACTCATCTGCTTACTACGGCACTATTGGGCATTCCTTATGAGAATCAGTACGGTCACTTTAGTCTTTTCGATTAACTATAATTCTTTGATAAACTTTGTTGCAGATGAACGAACTTGTACACTATTGAAGGTAAAGTCAAATCAACCACGCTCCGAGAACGTTTAGGAGAAAGTCATAGATCACGTCTCAACCCAATTTTATGAAAATTATTTTTATGTCTGTGTGCTTTTTCGCAGGCTTTCACACCGAGTGTAACTGCTTCAGTACAACCCTCTTTGATAAAATTAAACCATGGTTTAATCTAATAGCAACAATCAATTAATATAAAATCAAGCCAACGATAAATCAAATAAATTGTCATGCATAGAAAAATGAAATGTCGTGTTAAATGATCTCACTAAGTAGGCATTTATAAAGGACAAAAAAGTAAACATACCTGATGGGTGGATTTATAAAAAAATTGTAGTAGTAACAAAATAATTATATGAAATTTACTCCACTTAAAATATATTCATTGATGAGAATCATATTAACTTAAAATTATGAACTCCATTTACAGCTGCCATTAAGTAGAACTTATTTCGTATTTTTAGCTATTATATGTAAATTTGGAAGCCGCGTTTTTATAACTTGAAACTACACAGGGACTCAATATATCTTAAGAATTTACAGCTGTACGATTTGTATCCAGTTAGTTTAAGATTTATAAAGTGAAAAAGCAACTGCATAACTTAATGCAATTAATTTTTCTTATCGAGTTCAAAGAAGTAATAACCAAATGACCAATATCAATTAATCATTATTACAGTCGCTGTAAAATATTCTAAGATTGTTTATGAATAAAGCTAATTTACATGTAAACTATGTCAACGTTAATTCGATTAAATAGTTAAACATCTATGCGTAAATGTGACCGCACAAATTTGGACCGTCGATGGATATTGTAGAAGAGATTACAGAGTCAGGTAATAATCTGAGACAACAAATTCCTCATTTCTGTCAAGGAGGTTTGGGATATTGCTCGGTTTAATTTCCTCATGCGTTAGGGCCTCATGATTAGTAAAATGGTAATTAACACGTTGAGTGTGATACGGCCCACCAGTGGGTCGTTGCTGATTTCCATCTGCTGCATTTAAAAGTGCACCAAAAGATGGCATTTTTGCTATTTTCAGCACATTCGTTGTTGATGATATAATACAAAGGTTTGGAATAATGAAAAATGCTTTCAACTCTTTTATCTGAATACAAGAGTTACTGACGATGTAGTAACTCAAACATAATCCCACCAGCGGGCAGTCGGCGGTTTCGACCATCGAATTCAACGTCTTAATATATGCATAATATTATATAAAACATTCATTTTAAGATACTTGCAAGTATTATTTTACTTGATCTATAAAATAGAATACATCCAACTTTTAGGTGAAAAATACTTATTATATTAATCTGAACTGAATAATTTTTATCAAAAATTAAAATACACAACGCCAAGAAGTATGACCATAGGGATCATATCGAAGTTAGAACATTCTTGAAAGAGTCATTCACTATCGATTTTGCATCAACCATATATTGGCATTTGGCCATACCGTGCACAACCTATCAGCGATCAATGTCCGTGCATTGTAAAATTAACATTAATCGCTAATAAGGCGTTTTGTTGTCAAATCCAAACCCAAGATAAATACTATGCTCATGCTAATTTCGAGGCAAATTTATATCACAGCAACCTGAGAAGATCATCAATATTTATTCAATGTCTTATTCATGTGTGTATTAACAAATGGAATCAATTTAATGAAATCAAATATTACGATAGGCATGAATGCTCTTAATTTTGTTAAAAAATACTGATCCATAACTATTTTGCGTCAAACCGTAAATGGGAATTTATATTTTTCAGTTCTAACGTGAATTAAGATAATGACATAAAGTGAAATTGTCTTTGTGCTCTACATAGTCATTTTATCTTCAAATAAAATTATAATCAAATCATAATTATTTGATAAAGATATATCCTTGAACAAATAACCTTGACGAAGATCAAACCATTCAGATGCTTAGGTCCCAATGGGTATGTTGTTGGAAGGGGGTGGTCGTTTGAGGTATTTTCCACTATCCTTTAATATTTGTAGTCATCGAGCAAAAAGAAAGTTGCGGAAGAAACTGGCAAGACAGTTAGTTCGCAGACGCAATGCACAAATAAGAGATCAAAGTTCAGCAAACGGTAAGTTATTGTTTTTTTTCTATGATTGAGATCAATAGACATTATTACTGAAGAGGAAGTCGCTCGAATAGAAGCTGAAGAAAAATTAGAAAGGCAGAGGTAGATTTTTTCGTTTATATTTACTATCGAAAGACATGATGAAGAGGAACAAAAATGGATTGAGCGCGAAAGGATTGCTCAGGAGATTTTCGCACAAAAAAAGGCTTTAGAGGAGGCGGAACAAAAATCCAAACAAGATATGCAGAAAAATGCGCCTGCTAAAGAAATCATTATTAAGAAATCTTCCCTTCAGGTACATTTGTGAATTTTATGTTTAATAATTTGATATCATTTGCAATCGTGTAAATGCGTTAGGTTGATCCGGTTTGTGTTTGATCTTTATATTTCAACGGATATTATTTCCAATTAAATTGTATCTACTTCATTTCACCGCGTAATCTGGAGACCAGTATTCAAGATTTATAACTTAAAGATCTCTAAAATTCGCTGAACGCGCAGTACACGCATAATTAGTCTCCCTAATAGCCCACATGAGCAAAGTTTTGATACAGTTTTACTTTTATTGAGCATATTCTGGCCAAAGTTGATTATGCGTTCGTTTGAGCGTTAGATACACCTGGAATTTTTGTGCTAGCGCGCCAGAAATTGCATTCCAACGGGCTTTGTCTTCTGTAATCTAATCTGTGATGGATTGAGAATATCTTTCACTATCTTCTCATCTTGTAACCCTAGACTTTGTCAACAAGCTGGTCTTCCAAGCCAGCACCAAAAGAAAATCTAAGTGATATCTCTAGTAACAGTAACTCTATTGCATCTTTTAACACTGCATTTCTCATGGACAATTAAGGAAATTCGCAGGAATGCAAAAAATGATTTTTGTAGGAAGAAGAGAAAGGGAGAATAATGCTACTGAATAGTTGTACATGATCCTATTTCAATCACTAAGTATTATATGAATTTATTCCTCCTAAATATCTCGTTTTTTGCCATTCTTTGTTTATAAAGTTTTATCCAATTAATTTATCCTTTCCATTAGTATTAGTTTCAGCAAATTTAACTTATAACAAAATTTTTAAATTGTGTAGATGTATTTAAATCTTCCTCCAAATCACTGCCCAGAACCGCCTCATCTCGACTGGAAAAGGGACGAGTTGTGTCAATTCTTCCTAAAAACTGGAGCTTGTCGCTACGGTGATAGATGTTCCCGACATCATCTTATCCCACCTCTTCACCCCTCCGATATTGCCTCCTTAGGATCGTCAAATGCCGAATCTCCGCGTCTTATTCTGATCATTGAAAATATGTTCAATCATTTCTCCTTTCATTGTAGGTTGACCTCGTCCATTAGTTTTTATTCAGACATCGATTTAAACTTCTGCATCTTACTACATCTTCACTGTGTTTCTTTTTTTCTAAGGCGATCCTCTTGAGTGCGAGGAAACTCAGTTACTACTCGACTATCATGATTTCTACGCAGACGTGCGTCCAGTATTGGAGAGTGTCTGTGGAGGTCCCTTGGAAGTTTTTCGCTGTTGTAGAAATGCCCTACCGCACTTACGCGGCAACGTGTACATTCAATTCACTCAGGATCCTACAATTGCTTCAGATGTCGCTCTGCGTCTAAGCAGTCAACGCTATGACGGCAAGCCACTTGCCACTCGCCTCGCTTATTTATGCGAGGGTTGGGAATCTGCTATTTGTGGTACGTCGAAATTGGTTAAATTCCATAATTTGCCCCCCCCCCTTCCTGTTGTAGGCTGTCACCTGAGGGGAAATTGCCCGAGAGGCGACATGAGTTGCAATTATCTTCACGTTTTTCCAAATCCAAACGAGAAGGCCAGCGATGTTTTAGACCATTCATCTTCCCACCGAGCAGGGGAAAAGCTCTCTAGGTTAGATTAATTGGTATTGCTACTGATAAATCTAAGTAGTTTGAAATGCTTTCAATGAATCCTTTTGTGTTAGAGAGTCGCGAAGTAGCAGAAGTGGAAGGAATTCTGAACGACATTCCAGAGCGCATCGAAGGAACTCCATGAGCCGAAGTCATTCACGAGAAAGACATGGACACAAATCGCATAGACGCGAAAGTCACAACAGAACTGCGTCAGTGAGTTCAAGCCCTTCTATAGACCGATATCGATCCAAAGAAAGAAGTCGACGTTGCAAAGGTAAACGCAGACGAAGTGGTAGTAAACACCAGACCCACTTCAAATCATCGTTTTGAATTAACATGAAAATTGTACAGTGATATTTTTGATATAAGAAAATTTTATCGAAAGAGAGGCTGACTTTTTAAACTTTTTTAAGTGAAAATGTGTTGCACTTTTGGGGTTTCATTTTTTATGCGAGTTTGCTCACTTTTTATAAAGTTCCCCCCCCCCCTCAATTCTAATGCATTAAAATGAACTGTTCTGCACCTGTCGAAACAAATAGTACCATTTGGATGAATCGCCTTTAGTTGTTGGAATTAAAGCTTAGTGAAAGAGTAGAATAGGAGTCTCTCTCTCTCTCTCTTGGTGTATGCTCCTTTAAAACTCACCTCTGAATCATAGGATCTTATAATTTTTCGAGCAATCGTTCGAGAATATTCGTATTGAGTCGCATATCAACTTTGTTGATGGAATTCAGTAAATGACTCTTCAAGCACAATATAGAGGACATGAGCTGTACTGGGGTGGGGGGGAGGGGGGCTAATAGGCAAGCCTGAAACTCCGGAAGCTGTTACCTGGCTTATCGAAGTGGCATCATTTTGATCTAACCCAGAGATTTATGTAATTGTCCATTGAGGACGGTGTACTTGATTCAAACGGTTTCGGTTTACTAACAAGCCATGGGAATTTGTGGGAGTTTCCAATGTCTAGTCAACGTAGATCAGAAGGCAAACAACTATATAGACGGAGACACAGGAGAAAATCGAGGTCAAAAATAGCCTCCGAAGGGAGTACCTCTTCAAATGATAATTCTTCTACAGCAAAACATTGATCGTCTGACAGACGCTGACATTACAGCGTAAGCCTAGACGAAGAAATCGGCGAAAATATCCATTTCAAGGCAAAAAATCTGAAACAATCCGAAGTCAATCGCGTGAACAGCGTCGACATTGCAGGCAAAATAAACTAAGACGAAAAAGAAGTAGAAGAAGATTTAGATCAAAATGGTCTTCCAGCATCAACAGCTCAATAAGTTCTTCTAAGAACCGAAGCAGCAAATCAGAAAGGAGATGTCAATGCGGCAAACGTAAAAGTGGAACGTCTAGTTCCTAATCATCTTCTGACAGCGCCTTTAAAACTCAAAGTTCTTCAAGTCGTAGACAACTATGTCGCAGATATCCACATAAACGAGGTGAGAGGAAATGGAAATTGAGTTCGGTTCAGCCACCTGACAAGTGCGCCTCCAAAAACCCTCTTAATGAATCTGAAATCAACGTGGAAGGAGCTGATAAGCGATGCCAGAGCGACTTATCGTAAAAGGAGCATATTTGGAAATTTTGCCAAACTAATAAAGTAAAGTAGAGTTTTATACATCTTTTAACCCTTATAATAGTTGACGTCTCACTTCAAACTACCATGACCCGACTGTATGTCATCTTCGATCCCTTCCACAATACTCGTCTTACCTATTCTCTGCCTTTGTGTCCCTCTATCACTTTTACATCTGTCAATCATTATTCTGTCCCCCCTCTCGACGTTTTGTCATTTTGATGTTCATTCTCTTCTCAGTGAAGCCCCGAAATCAGCTAAAGGGCTAATGATAACTATCAACACGCCTGGCATTTGAAATTAATAAATATTCGCAATTGCTATTCTCTCTCGTTTGTCTGGAATCTTATCGTCTGAAGAGTGAAATGCATTGACTTCGCACGAAGCATGTACGCGCGAACGGTACCACCAGTTAATTCTATTAGCGCGTTTTAGCAAATAAAAATTCGTAATGATCCAATTCGCTTAAAATGTACGACATTATCGAAATGATACGCGTAGTTAGGAAGACTGGTGACTATGAAAAATACGTCAAATACAATGTTGGTTGCTAGTAAAGCTGAAGACGAAACACCAGCATGAATAGACTAAAGACAATTTAACTACTTAATTGGAAAAAAGTGAATTGGTAGCTTTAACTTTGATAACGTTACAATTACTTGAATCAGATGCCAATATTAAAAAGTGTAGAAGTCAGATAAGTTTGCCAATTTTACGTACAGTCAGTATAACTTAGGAACACAATTGGCAAAATTTCTCGAAGCTATGACTTTTCACGAAACCCAGTGAAGCCTAAAATTTATTATCAAAAAAAACTGCTGTACATCTCACAACTGGCAAGCACAATATTAGATATCGACCTTAGGTCGGAACTGCCTCAATGCACTTGCGTAACAATGAGCAGAGGTAACATTGACGTCTCACAAGAAATAAAAAATTTGAGGAAATCAAATATTTCTATGTTAGAGCACTTGATCGGAGTTTGGAAGCAACCAAAGAAAGGGATGCTGGACAGCAGGAGCTCTAGTGAGTATGAAGCTGGCGAAAAGTGGGAGTGGCCAGAGAGGGGATCGAACCCTCGACCTTCGCGTTATTAGCACGACGCTCTAACCGACTGAGCTACCCGGCCCTGGCATTCGAGGAGTTCGATGAATACCATCACACTCATACAGGATCCGCCCTCTGCAAAAAACAAACCTCTATAAGACCCGCAGAATGTCATGACACTGGTGATTCATGCCTCCTCACCGTCATCACTGCCACTGAATAGAAAACTTACAAAAAATTGTGATTCCACAAAATTTCACAAAAAGCTATGAAAGAAACCTAAGTTAGTGAAAACCTATTTATCTGAAAAAAACAAAAAAGAAAATATGTTGAAATCGGAGTTGAAAATACAAAAAGGGATTTCTGTTCTTAGCAAGTCAGTAGACAATGATGACTTTGAAATCTCCATGAAAATTGAGTCTGAAAACATGATCTGATACACTTTTATATTATTAGTATACTATCTTCTTAGATAATCTTATATATAGTAATTATATTTATTTATTATCAAAATTAGAGTAAGTTCAGTGTATTGAAAGAGACTAATTATTATTATGAAAATAATAATAGTAAGTGCGTATACGACTTGAATAATATTAAAAGTAATATTTTTATAGTGGATGAAGATATCTTAAGAACGTCTTGAAATAATTGATAGAAATTATACTACCATTTTAATTCTCGTTATGTTATCTTCAAAATAGTAATTTATATCTTGGGGAATGGTTTTGCTAAAGTAAAATTCTGTACGACACTTTCAACTTAAAAAAAGCTATTAAATAATATATTTAAAACAATATAATAGTGGGCTACTGTTGCATTTTTTATTTTTTGACCTCTGTGTTCAACGTCGGCTTTTCTAATATTTCCCGAATGCTGATAAGGCCTGTAATTAGTACTGCACGATTATTTCGTTCATTTTCAAACAATGCATTTGATTTTCCAGGAGCTTATAACGTAAGATATGTGCTCAGATCTATACTTTTAGTTAAGTGGATCTTTACGTGGTCGACCTAAAACTGACCGTTACGGAACGTGGAAATCCTTATGTATTGCTGTGCCTTTTATTATTCTCGGAGGATGTATAAGTATGAAAGGTGCCGCCTATTTGGAAGAACATGATATATTCGTTCCTGAAGATGATGACTGATTTAATTTCTATCTTATTCTTTATGTAAACACTTTCTTCAAATCTCTCAATCTATGGAAATACTAACCAGTAAATAGTCGTACGTAACGTTTATTAGTTCAAAAAAACGGCTTTGGTATTCGCTTGCTGTTATTCTTTCCTTGTCTTTATTTGATGCATTAAAGTGTCCTACTAACGTTTTGGTGAATAAAGTGCTATTTTTAAAGATGATATCAAATTGGCATTTTTCGAATTATTGTCTGCGTTCAGCTACCGGTGCTTCTCCATGGGACTCATACGTTGAAGTGCTGCATTTCCAATCACTCCAAAATGCAGAGCTATTATTTATGTCCATTGTGATTTGTCCGTCCACAGGTGCTTTTCAAAGTACGTACATATTATTTTCCCCAGCCACAGAAAGGAAAGAGTTCGTGGAAATAGGAGATAATTTCTTCTCATGTCGGTAAAGGGTTGCTGCATCATAAAACAGGCCCGCTATGGAATGGAAGCAATTGAGAGTGTGTTCCACGAAGATTTCGTTGCGCCTCCACTTTCACGCATAACTGTGGACACTCTAAATGGATCACCCCCCTCCCCCCTTACTTCTGGCTTCCAAAATGCTGCTTGATTGTATGCCACTGTTCATCTAAAGCGTCTGGTTCCACAGAGCTAAATGCGTCTACTTCTTCATGAAATCGGAGTGAGAAATAACAAGAATAAGCTATAGATGGTCCTTCCAATTTTAAAAAATCATTTTTGTGTATCCCTGTATCAATAATCCTAACATTCATGTGAAAGCATAAGGTGGAAATTACTTTCTTTAGTATGTTGAACGAATGTTCCTTTTTCTCAAATTTGCGAAGACGGCACCTACGATAGCCTTTATCGTCGTTTTTGTTGCCTTCCAAAACAATCATAAATTTCAGATCTCATTATTGTTGCGCAATCTCTTAAGTGGTGGAGTTGTCCCTAAAATTCTTTAATTTGCATTACAAATTTAAGTTTTTCATTAGTAAATAATGACAGCATCTCTTGCCTTTGTGCTCCAACCTTCTCATTCATTAGTTCCCTTTCTTAATACCTCTTATAGACCTGTCCTTGCCAATAAAAAGTTGCTTAAAAAAGGCACTTTTTTGCTCCGCTCCCTGCCAATGGAAAAGATTCTATAAAATTTCAGAGTGGCCAATATACTTATGCTTATATCTAATGGCAGGCTTTATGATAGTTGGCATCAGGCCTTTAGTCGACTTCGGGCTTCACAGAGAAGAGGACCAGACAGAGTCACACGAAGGTAGAGAAAAAGCCAAGGTAAGTACTATGAAGTGCTCGAATAAGACAATAGTGTCGGGTCAAGGTGGTTTGAAGCGAGAAGTCAACAGCAGGTTTATAGACCTTTTTGCCTTATAGGTGTACGTTGCTCAGGGTGAAGTGGTGGTCGATATTAATTCTACCGGTATGTTAGGTAATTATTCTTAGAACGTGTAAAAGCCTATGGAGAACTAACTGGGATTCAAGCCACCATTCATTCCCATTTTGACCCCACAAATTCCCAGATGCGATCGCCACCTGTTTGTGATAATTTTTTGACTCTCAGAGCCGCCATGTCGGACACAATTAACTGGGTCTCATGACGCCTTAGAGATTGGTGACCCTTGCGGCAAAATATTCAATCACCCATCCCTGCGCTGTTCGCGCTTTCTAGCCCGCATGCCGAACAAGCTTTCAAACGCTTTGGTATTAACTCACCTTACTTAGTCCATATTTCCCACGGTATCTATGATCCAAAATGCGAACAGAGAGCCTAGAGCCACAGAATTAAATGAGGCTTAAATGCTTGTGGCATTACAACCTTTAGAGAAACACCGATTCAATACATAAATAACACAAAATCGTAAACACTGGATACGTTAAAATTTTGACCAGATACAATACGCCGTTTATACCACGACGAAAACAATTCCATCTCATTCAGTCGCTCTCACTGTGATCAAGGGTTAATGAAAAGGGGAAGGAGAAACAACGGGAAATTCAAGAGGTCGTGATAGTGGTTGCCCGCTGTGTGTGTGTGTGTGAATGAATGTTAGCAAACGCACAGTCTATTGTATACAAATCTCAACAGACATTCACATGCTAATGGGAACAAATGAACAAACGGGTATCACAGAAAAAGAGGTTTGGGCATCGGAGGAGGAGGAGGAGGGGGGGGGGGGAACATTGATTATCGATCAAGAGGAGGATCTCGGTCCATTCGAACTACTAGCATCAGCAGACGTCTTGGGTGATTGTGTTGGCTCAGTAGTAGTAGCCAAAACAACAGATCGATTAGCTCGTGGGGGTGGAGGTGGAGGTTGGGGGTGAGGAGTAGTGTCCTCAATGTGAGTTAATAAGAGGGCATGCGAGGACCAGGGCAGTTCGCCGAGGGATCTTCGAAGGGGTCGATGAGGTGGGGTCAACTCTGCAGCAATCAAACCAGCAGAAGAGACAATTGAAGTGCGTTTATGAGCTCCTGTATTTCCGGCACCACCACCACATACGGCAAGTCCACAATTGCTGTACATGTTTGTGTGAACGTGGTGGAAAGCATGCCCAAGGGGTTCTCGGTCGGGGTTGGAACTTGAAATACACGGCTTCAGGGAGGAGGAGGAGAAGGGCTTATTCTGGTCCTGTGGTTCTTGTTCTTTGAAGTAAGGGATTGAGAGAGGCCCGGTTGTTGGGGAGAAGCCATTGAATTTGTCCCCTTCTGGAGCAAAATTCTTGACCTAAATAAGTCAGAGATTTAAAGACGCTAAAATAGAATTAATAGACTCAGCTAATCCACTAGGTTTGACTACTCACGCTCATCTAATGCGAAAACTTACCCCTGAAACACCTAGGCAGGGTTTTACTGAACAGATAAAAGTAATTTTAATTAAAATGATAAATTGTTAGGAACAAGGGGAGAGAGTAAAGATTAGTGCAAAAGGGGAAAAACCTACTTGATCGGACACCACGGAGTTAGAGGCGTGTTGGGAATTGTTTTCTTCAGCACCTGGTTCATCCTTAGCGCCATCAGCTTCTGCGGGGTTGGAAGTGGATAGTTGGGGTTGTTGAGCAGCGGCAGCAGCGGCTT